GTGTGTGTGTGTGTGTGTGTGTGTGTCCTTGACCAGCACGTGAACCACTGATCAGGGCTGTGTGTATTATTCACACACCACTTGAGATTTCTTGTGTTTTTGTTTATCTTTCAGTCGTAGCTTCTCATAACTTCAACGCAGACATTGATCAAATCTGTATGATTCCATCTTGTTGTTCCAAATTTTCAGTGAAAATAGAAACATATCATCAAATTCCAGAGTAAGAATCCACCCTGGAACATTTCTTACTGATATACGGTTCCTTTCTTTACTGTTTCACTTTTCCTTCTTCTTTCCTTCCTTGCCAAAAAAGTATAAAACAAGGTCATTACTCTGTCAAGCATTTGTTTCATTGGCCCACCGGGAGGAAACACTATCTCAGTTTTATCTCCAGAAGCCTCCACACTGTTGTTTCCCAACCGTTTTTTGACCTGTGACCCTTTAAAATGAAGCAGTGTCTTGACTCAACGTAAGTCTAGCAGTTAAAGTGATTCACTTTCTCGTGTAATGTAAATGTTTTTCTCTCGGTCATGTTCAACTTCATGAATGTGCCAGAAATTGAGAAGCTCTCTCACCTCACTTGCACGATGCGGAGAAAGAATCGCTGTCCCAGCTGTTAAAAGCAATAAGTACACAAATGTTCATGGCTATTTAAGCACCAACGCCTGGTACTTCAATTTGTGCCATAATGTCAGGCAGGAGAAGGTGCAGTCACCTTGATCATTGTAAATTGCTGTGGATTAAATTCAAACAAAAATATGAGCAGCCGAGGTTGCACACACTGCGTCTGCAGCTCTGTGTAACTGAACGTCTGTCTTGAAGAGAGACAGCATCATGTAAACCACAGCGTCCCCGCCGTGTGATTGTGCTGGTCCTGCCCGCCGGCGCTGAAAGAGATGACATCATGTTTTTCTGCTGAGCGCAGACGTCCTCAGATTGGCCTCAACTCGCTGAGACTGGAATCAGCAGGTAGACAAAGAGAGAGGGAGAGAGAGGAGCGGGGGGTCCAGATGGTGAGGGGTGATGGAGAGATGAAGATGGAGAACAGGAAGAGAGAGAGATGAACGAGAAGAATGGAATTAAAAAAGGAAAATAATGAAAAAGCTGGAAGTAATAAGATGCATCCTCACAAACGCAAGTAATTCCAGAGTGAGAAGTGTTCTCGCGTTTTCAAGACAAAGGAGGAAATCAAGGTGATGGAGGGAGATTCAAAGACATTAGAGCGGGAATGAGCTGAAAGAGCGTGACAGCAGGAGGAGGAGGAAAAGACGAGGAGGAGGAGGACTCAGACAAGATATCAGAGAGATGAGGACAGATAGAGAGAGAGGTGGGAAAAAAGAACAGCGCAGATTAAAATGAAACGATGGACAAGACAAAAAGAGGTGACATGATGCAGAGAAAGAAAAAGAAAGAAAAGGATGCACAATAGAAAAGAAAGAGGTCAAACTGAAAAGAAATAAAAGATGAGGCTGAGAAAGTGCAAACTAAGGAGAAATGAACAAGGCAGATTTAAGTGAAGGACGAGAAGGGAGGGAAACGGTGAAAAGAAAAAGGGGAGGAGAATGAATGTGAGGCGTGAGAGGGAGGGCAGGGGTTATCATAGGTCAGAGGAAGTAACGGACTGAAGCTTGAGGTGGAATGAGAGACGATAGCAAAGTATTTCACCTCGTATACTTTTAGACGCAGCAAACCACACTTCTTCCCCGTCAGTGTAAACAATATATTTGAATGGTATTTATTAGTTATTTAGCAGAAATGGATTGGAAGACTTCCTGCAGGTATATGTCGGAGGTTGTGGTTAAACCAGATGCTCACTTTTTGCATAATATGCTCCTGAGCTGATACATGAGAATACTGAGCCCCCCCCCCCCCATGTGCGTCCATGTACAGGAAAACGGGGCAATAAATGATGGTCTGTGGAGGTTTTTAACTTCCCTCCTTCAGCCAGATGACTTCACCATATGTTGCTATACATCTGTAGATACATTCAACATGCAGATGTTTCTTCTTCTTCTTCTTCTTCTGTCTTGTACCTGACAAACATTGGACTTAAGTTCATGTAATGAAGAACATAAGTGAAACCGTCAGGGAGGTTATGTTTTCGTCTTTGTTTGTCGGTGGTGGAAGGATGTGGTCTCGGTGAGGGAGAGAACCCAGTACATGTTGGCTTTTTCTTTCACTTTTGCAAGATACTTTTGAACATAATTTCTAAGAGAATGATCTATGGATCTTGAAAAGAACATGTTAATGTGGATATTTACGAGAAAGTGAAATTTGGTGCAGATCTAAATAAAAATCTGGATCTTGTGAATTTAAATGTGGTTTCATGAGGAGACTGTTGGTGGAGATACGAGCTCAGTGTCCTTCCAGTTTCACCCATGTTTATAAAGTATGGGAGAAAAGACCCTTTTTATTCCCTTTATATTAAATACATTTTACAAAGTCCTTAGGGAGCACAAACATTGTTATGCATGTGTTGTCTTTGGCATTAATTTAACTCTTTAAGATAACGTCTCTTTCTCTGGAGGAGGTGCACGTGTGAACACAAATGCTTGAGTGAGTGAGTGAGTGAGTGAGAGAGAACGTGTGAGCGCTCAACCTACTTATTTCTTACAACACAAATCAGTCACAGCAAACCACCATCCGCACATTTCTGATGCTCAGCAGATATCGTCCTCTCAGTGCTACACAAAGGTCATTTAAGACAGACCTCATTCAACTGCTTAATAAGCAACATAACTTAATGAAGCTGTGAAATTCCCACTGATCTCACTGGAACATTCACCTTTCGCCTTCATGCCGCCCCTCCACTCCCTCTGAATATGATCTCCTCTGCAGGGCCTGAGCCTTGTGTGAAAGAGGCCATCACATGACGTGACTTGGCCCTTTGTAGCAGCATGCAGGGTGGCAGCGAAGCAAGTGACTGGGATTGGGAGCAGTAGTATTACAGTAGGGGTATTGATTCAGCACAGATTCAGGAGGTGGAGCTCAAACCTCCATTTATTTCCACCTCTTCCCTGTAGACGCTCTTACTTTACTTCTCATTATTTCAATTTTCTTACCTTCTAACTCTTCTGGTCATTCTCCATCTGCTGCTTCTCCTTTGCAATCGCCCCCCTCCTCTCATCTCTCTGCCTTCTCCTCTCCAACCTCCCCCCTTCAACTTCTCTCACTCCTTCTCAATGAGGTATTCATGTGACCCACCTGCTGTACGCCGCTTAGCGTTTGCCCGACTAAAGAGCCGCTCTGTGCTCTTGTTGGCCTGCGGAGTTGGCCTGCCTCATTCGTAGTTCATACGCCTGCCTCTGCCGCTGCGTGCCCAGGGCGCGAACCAAGGAGAGAGAAGCGAGGGGGGGTCCTGATCCAGTAAAGGGGTGGGGGTGGGGGGTCTCAGGGTGGCATCGGAGTGCAGACGAGGTTCTGTCAGACGTAGGATGCTGCACAAGGTTCCTGGATGCTGGTGCACTTGGCTAAAGTAGCCATCATGTTTGGCCGGAGGAGTTCAGGTGGAAGTTATGAGAAGATGCGGAGCGAGTATTACTTGGACGTGGAAAACCCTTTCTGTGCTCAGGTTGGTGTGTCGGATGTAGGTTTTTCTACAAAAGAAAAAAAGATGATGTTTCTGTTCAGACATTTAATGTGATTCTTATTTTGGATTAAATGTGATAATGGGGATGTTCAGTTGTTTTGTTTTTTTCTTGCTCCATTTGGTTTGAACACATTTCAGGTCGTTTTTCTGGTTTCCTGATCTGTGCGGTGACTGTGTGCGATGGTCAAATGAAAGAGCTTTTGTCTGGCTCACAGCTAAAGGATTTCACACAATCATTTTCTAAAGTCTTAATTTATCACTTGTTGAATCATTTTAAGGTGCTCACTGTGAGCAGAGGCTAATCTGAAATTTATTTTGTTTTCAACTCATCAACCAAAAGATGACCTGGATAAATTGGTGCTGAATATTAACAAGGTGACAGATTGAACGTCGAGTTTTGATTCACCCTGTATTTTAAAACCCTTTAATGTCTCGTATATGTAAAACAACATTGTTTTGAGTCTGATCATACAATCAGATGCCAGAGCGCTCACATCTCCTAACTTCTCTTCCTCCACAGGTGACCAAGCAGATCCACGAGCATGAGCAGGAGAGCGAGCTGCGGGAGCAGATGTCGGGCTACAAGCGCATGCGGCGGCAGCACCAGAAGCAGCTGATAGCCCTGGAGAACAAGCTGAAGGCCGAGATGGACGAGCACCGGCTCAAGCTGCAGAAGGAGGTGGAGACGCAGGCCAACAACGCCTACATCGAGCTGGAGAAGCTGGCGAAGCGCCACGCCGTGCAGAGCGAGAAGGAGGTGGGCTTTGTCGGAGGGTGGTCGGGTTATTGCACATGAGTGGACGCACAAGTGCAGTAAACCCTAAGTTATTTCACAGATGATCTCAACGTGCATCATGCAACAGTTCATTCGAGGGATAAAGTTTGCTTTGGAAAAAATAAGGGAGGAAATGATTGAAGATATTTAGATTCTGCTTCTGGAGGAAAGTTTGTTTGATTCTGTTCAGTTATTGTTTACTCAATGAAAGAGGAGTTAAGACTTGACACACTGCTGCCACCCAATGATACATACGATGAAACACAAGGGTAGAAGTAGGTCAGACAATGTCACGCTCTGAAAAACAAGCTGTGTATCCCAGTGATTAGCGTTTGGCGTGCCGTACCGACCACAGAGATAATATATCTGCTCATATAGACCAGCAACATAAACACACGCGGTCACAAGTCATAAGCGTGTGTGTGACACATCTCAACTGTTTATTAGATGAAGGTTAAATCAGTGTGTGGTCTGTTTTGATACTTTAATGAAAACCACTTTTAAATCTCACATTAAATCGAATTTATAAATTTACAAAAGCTACAATAACAAGTGGGATCGAACCCTAAACCAACCAATCACCTCACAGCCCGAAATCTCTAACTGATCGTGGTGTAAATAAACGACACAAACATGATAAGTGAAATTAGCTGCAGCTATTTATTTATTATTATTATATAATTATTACCTCCACCAGGAAGATAAGGTTTTATCTGTGTTTTGTTTTTTGGTTAGTTAGCAGGATCACACAAAAACTACTGGACGGATTAACACAAAGTTTTCTAGAGGGATGCAGAATTACGTCTTCAGAGAATTTGTCTGAATATTTACGGAAAAAAATCTGACATTTAGGCAGTTGGAATTTATTAGTTTGTGCAATTTTGTGTGGAACCAAATGAACTAACAGCTCTTCGCCCCTGTTCCCTGCACCCCCCTCCCCAGATGAAGACGGCGTTGGCGGATGAGAAGAAGTTCCAGCAGCAGATCGCGGCGCAGCAGAAGAAGGAGCTGACCACTTTCTTGGATAATCAAAAGAAGCAGTACAAACTCTGCAAGGAGAAGATAAAGGAGGTGCCCCACGTTTTGTTGATTTCCTTTTTTTCCATCCTTTTGTGTGCTTCTCCCTCCTCTGTGACACACAGTCCAGCCTGCTGTGCACAGTTGAATCAGCCCTCCTCCACACAAACATGCACATTCACTCCAAAGTGGTCTTTTGGAAGTTGTGTTGAGTCACACGGCCCACTCACCGTGTACCTACACATGTATATACACACAAACGTGGAAAACCCACAGATCCATACGCACAGAGCAGCGTTTATGTGCCTCCGCAACCTTGAAACAGAGTCCAGATAATACTCCTGTGGGCCGCGAGTGTGATGCACTGTGTTTTCAGTTCCGAGATAAGTGACCAAAATTAGGTCAGCGCAGTTAAAAGAAAGCGTCTCTGGCAGGGAGAGATATTTCCCACCAACTGAGGGCTATAACGGAATTAGACACCACAGAGAGCGAGGATCAGGCTCATGTGTTAAGTGTATTAGCGCGAGTTGTAGATTACCTTCAAGCCCATGAAAGAGAAAGAGAACGCATTCAGAGGAGGGAGAGGTTCGGTGGAAATTATGGAGCTTTCAACCATAATAAAGTCAGCTGTAGTTCAGGACAGAAGGTCAGCTGGAGTTTGGCATAAGCTCCACAAACATACGATAATGCTTTTTCTTTTTATTCCACATTCAAAACATGTAGATTATTCAATATAATAGTCAAGAAAATCTGCTCTTCACTCATTCACTGGTTTAAACTCATCATAAAATGAGTTCCTCACACTGTTCCCATGATGGATAATCCAAAACTTTCCCCCCAATATGTCAAATAAATCTACTCATCACGGATCGTTCTTTGTCCTTTGGTTCCTCATGTATCTGCGTTTGAACTTCCACCTCTTCTCAGGAGATGAACGAAGACCACAGCACACCGAAGAAGGAGAAGCAGGAGCGTCTGTCCAAGCACAAGGAGAACATGCAGCATTCCCAGGCCGAGGAGGAGGCTCACCTCCTGGCCCAGCAGAGGGTTTTCTACGACAGGAACTGCCGCGCCTTCAAACGCAAAGTCATGATCAAGAGGCACGACGTGGAGCAGGAGCAGATCCGAGAGGTGTGAAGAACATATATATATGTATTCTTAATTTAATCTTTACATTTATGAAGCGAGTTCGCCAAAACACATGAATCTAGTTTGAGCTTCAAAATAAAATCCCTGTTCATGAATTGTTATTGTTTGTGACGTTGGTGTGAACGAGCCCAGAGTAATTATTTTTCTCAGAAAACGTCAGCGTGTCCCTGATAACTGCACCCATTGTTCTGATCTGATCAATGAGGTGTTGCCTATTAACTGTAAGAAGATTATTCGAGTAAAGCATCACAGCAATGTAATAATCTGAAAAGCTGTTGTGTAAAGAGTCTTTATGTGAGAAAATACACAAAACTCTCATCACATTTTACACAACAGTTTAAAATCCCAAATTAATGGAGATTTAACGTGTGATATTTATGGATTTTGTTGATAATGAATGATACCGAATGTTCTGAGACTGAAACAAATGAAAAAAATTGATTTCTACAGGGGGAAATGATAATCAGTAGCACCTGCAGCAAGTCATCCATGCCCCTTCTTCCTCCATGTTGCCTCCCTCCTAGGAGCTGAACAAGAAGAAGACCCAGAAGGAGATGGAGCACGCCATGTTGATCCGTCACGACGAGTCTACGCAGGAACTGGAGCAGAGGCAGCTGAAGACCCTGCAGAAGCTGCGCATGGACCTGATCCGCCTGCAGCACCAGACGGAGCTGGAGAACCAGATCGAGTACAACAACCGACGCGAGCGGGAACTCCACCGCAAGCACGTGCTGGAGCTCCGGCAGCAGCCCAAGAACCTCAAAGTGAGTCGACGCAGGGACGATAAAGGATTTTATACATGTGGTGGTTATTGTCCCAAGGGGTTGAAATTCAAACCAAAACCTTTTGTATTCAGATCCATATTTCCAGAAATGTTCTTGTCTTTGAGAATATAAATTGGAGTCATGTCTTAAGGTGATGCAAACCACGAGTAGTTTTTGACAGTGATGAAACATGGATGTAATAAATTCATTTGAAAAATAGAATGGCACTCAGTAGAACCTCTGCCGAGGCCAAACAGTTCCCTTAAATTCAATCAAGCTGCACCAAATTTAACACACTCATAAATCTCCGTCCCCTAAATATGTCTTTGTTGTTTTCATCAAGATCTCTGCTTTATTTCACGAGAAATTCAAAATAATATGGAAAGATCTCACAAGAAGGGGAAAATTAAATCGTGAATCTGCTCCAAAGTTTCTTCCTCCGCTCATACACCGTCAATGAAGTTTCAATAAAATCGGTTCAGTCGATTGTAATTCTGAAACCATTGAAACAAACTTATTCTGTTATTCTCTCCGTCCTCTTCATCAGGCTCTGGAGCTGCAGATCAAGAAGCAGTTCCAGGACACGTGTAAGGTGCAGACCAAGCAGTACAAGGCGCTGCGCCACCACCAGATGGAGGTCACGCCCAAGGCCGACCACAAGACGGTGCTGAAGGCCCTGAAGGAGGAGCAGACGCGCAAGCTGGCCATCCTGGCCGAGCAGTACGAGCAGAGCATCAACGAGATGATGGCCTCGCAGGCGGTGAGTCGACAGAAGTTAACGTGGTCATTTTTCTTATAAAAGCACAAAGGAATATTTCAAAGTAAGAAATTTAGATCTTTGAAGGAGATTCTCTCTCCACCCGTTGTTTATGGTTGTCCTCAAATCGTATCATGTCTTTGTCTTATATCGTTCTCTTCTCTCTCCCCCTTTGTCCCATCTCCTCTCCATGTCCCTTCCCATTATTTCTGTCTCTATTCCTCTTCTCTCTCTCTCTCTCTTCCTATGTGTCTTATCCATGAACTCCTCCACCCCACCCCGACCTCTCTTCCTCTGTCTCTTTGCGCCTCCCTCTCCCCTGTCGTGGTCCCTGGTCGGCCGTGTCAGCTGCGTCTGGACGAGGCCCAGGAAGCCGAGTGCCAGGCCCTGAGGCAGCAGCTGCAGCAGGAGATGGAGCTGCTCAATGCCTACCAGAGCAAGATCAAGATGCAGACCGAGGCGCAGCACGAGCGTGAGCAGCAGAAGCTGGAGCAGAAGGTGTCGCTGCGCCGGGCTCACCTGGAGCAAAAGGTGCCAAACTAAATCACCAAACTAGTTTTGACACACTCGTAACATTTCTCGGGTGTCAGTGGAGTAGTTAGGTCCTTCATGGTGACCCAGGACATGTCAGGTCTGAATGATGTCTTAATGTGTCTTGGGGACTTAGAGCTGTCCATCTGAGATGCATTGGCACGCAGGTGTGAACAGACAGTTTGTTGTTATCCATGTTTTTCTGACTCATCTCATCTCATCGACCTCTTCAGGGTCACCGATGACCAATTCCTCTAAGATCCCATTAAAAGGACGAAAAGGAAAGTAGCCTCATCCTCAACCTCAAGAAGACATGAAAAAACATAAACACACATTTTAGGAAAGTACATCACAAACAGGATGTAAACAAACCGTTTAAAGTCTGAAGCATCTGAGTCTGCGGACATGAAACAAACAAGTCGAAACGCAAACATCTGTTTTGTCAGTTTCCTTGATGTTTAAGGAAACGGGTCCTGATACATTATATATGTGCTTCCGCCTCAGCAGGCAGCGTGGCCATGAAAGTCGACCCAGACAGACATCCACGAGTTCACACAGATTTCCGTCCCCACAGGTGGCGATGACAGTGGTGTGGCGTCCTGCAGGGAGCAGCCGTCTCTCCCACACACTCTCTACGCCACTGAATTGTTCTATTATTACAACATTTCTGTCGTCTCCTGTTTCTAACACACACTGAGGTTGTTGTTTGTCTGAAATCTGTTTCTTTTACATATCTTAAGTCACATTAGATGTGACATCTGCAGCCGCGTTACAAGCTGACAACTAACTTTCATGCTTTGTGATGATTTTCCACGTCCTCGCACACACTGGACGCAGCTTCATCGATGTTTGTCCCCTAATTCGTTTACGAGACGCTCCAGACAGAGACACGTCTTCAGTGTGAGCGTTCAGACAACCTGCCGTGTACTCTGGTGACATGTGATGAGATTAGAGCGGCCGAGTACGCCTCCTTCCACAGTGACCAACGTCATCGCCACAGTCTAGTAGACAGCGCTCCGACAACAAAGACACATTTGAAATGCCGCCTTGATCCAGTTCTGCTGGGCCCAGTGTGGTCTGTGCCAGTGGCTGTGCTGCGTCGCCCTCTCCTGGCTGCGTGCAGACCTGCACTGTGGGGACCGGTATGATGTCATGGTTTTAGAAGCACTATTGTCCTCTGGTTCGGTTCATGGTCAGAGTCTGGAGTTTTCTGTGCATGCTCAGTAAGTCGCTCAGATTGCCGTATTGCGCCATGCAGGGCTTTGTCTGCACCTGAGTCTGTGTGTGTGTCGAGCTGACGTGTGAGTCTGAAAGACGGAGCAGACACAAAACAACTTGTGCCACCGAAACCTGATTAATAAAACTCACTCACACATTTACAGTGGGAGAGAGAATGCAGCCGCTACATCACCGAGTGAAGTGACGAAGACAAACGACTGTGCAGAATCATGAAAACACAAAAACACGACGACCCTGTGATCAGTGAGGATTTACAGTAACAGTGTCTGAGAGCTGCTGGTTCGACTCCACTGCTCATCAGTGGTGTTTTGTGATTCTCTTAGTTTTGTTTCCCTCTGGCAAGAAAGAAATGAGAGCAGTAATAAACTCTGTGTTGATGTTATCACTGAAATAAACAGCGTCTCCATCGCTCCACTCCTCTGTGGCGAAGAAAGACGCACAGCAGCTACTCTTCATTTGTTTTCTTATTATTATTCTTATTATTCTTATGAACAGGAAAAATGATAAAAGGCTGAATGATTTGTACATGTTGGATCTGTCCTTGTCAAATTGTCCTCTGGACGTTTTAATAGGTTTTCGACAGATTCATTTTTCTGACACTAAATCTTTACACTTCCTGCAGATTGAAGAGGAGCTGGTTTCCCTTCAGAAGGAGCGAACCGACCGGATCAAGCACCTGCTGGAGCGCCAGGAGCGGGAGATCGACAGCTTCGACATGGAGAGCATGCGACTGGGCTTCTGCAACCTGGGCACCCTGGACTTTCCCAAGGACGACTACAGATGAGGGGCTGCTGCTGCTGTCGTCTCTCCTCGTCACCCCCGGGCGTCCGTCTGCCTCTCCTCTCCTACAACCTGACCTGACTGTGCAGGTGTTCACTGCTGCTGACGTCCTCACACACACACACACACACACACACACACACACACACACACAAACACACAACAACAAAATAACGGCTCCAGGAATCAGCTCCTGTGTGTGTCCAGGGGCCAGTCGATGGCCCCCACCTTAACTCCCGCCCCCCACCCACCTCGTCTCTCGTCGTGTCACAAGATGACAAAAAAAAAAAAAAATGCTGGATAACGTCCTGTAGTTGTCATGATTTTGTACGAACAACGATAACGTAGTCACAGTGTTTCTTGTTTCTTGTGCAATGTGGAAGACGAGAGAAGGAGGGAGAGAAAAAACGAGGACGAAAGAAACGGCTCCACAAACATCCGATTTTAGAGGCAATCGATTTTTTGTCGTGCGTTTTGTCTTTTTGGTCTCGAGCGGTGCAAAAACAAAAACCTGTCAAAGCGATGAATCAAACTTCCACAGCCGTTCTCCTGCACTGCTTCTTTCAACACTTTTTCTATTCTCTACTCATCAGGACGTTTTTATGACAAATTTGAATAATTTGATACGAATATCACAAAGTTGATAAGTACACTTCTAATGATAATAATACTTAATGTGACTCCTGCGGTCGATTTGATTACTGAGGGTGAATCATGGTACTCTGTGTTTGTACTGATTTCTCTGCACTGGCAGCCAATGTGAATAATAATAATGATATTAATAATAAACTGTCACATGAGCTCCAGCTCCCAGATAGCACAAAGGGCTTCATTGTGGGGGGGGTGGACTTGTACTTTGTGTATAGAAGGATTTATGGAGAGCTTTTACTTATTTTCGTATTGTATTTTAACTGTCACTCATATCAAAAAAATAATTTTAAAAAACGCTTTTTTCCTCCCCCCTCCTCAGATAGTATTTGAAATTCATTCTATCAATGGGATTTTTTTTATTTCCTGGCTTATCGAGCTGTTTTTTTTGTTTTTTTTTTCTTCTCAACCGGACCAGTATGACGCTTTATTGTTGCATGCACTTTAATTTTTTTTTTCCAGGTTAAAAGAAAGCATGAATCTGTCAGAGCTTTTAATTATATTTGTAAATAAAGTGCTCATCACACAAACTGACGACGTGGTGCATCATTTATTCTGTAAGATGGAAGTTTTCATGTGAGCAAACTTTTTGATTAGTCAGTCGATCCAGAGATAAAGTCGTTGACAGCTGATTTTAATTTGCTTAGGTTTATTTTAGTTTTCATTTTATTTGGCCCTGTGATCCAGGACGGAACCCACCTCTCGCCCAACGTCAGCTGGGATTCGCTGCAGCTCCCGCTGCGACTCTAACGATAAGAGGTATGATGTGTGATTAATGTTGAATTTTACAGTTCAAACACATGTTGTCAAAGTTTGAGATACTGTGTCGTAGACTGATTCTAGAAGTTACACAAACTGAAATGCTGTCAATGGAACAAACTTCCTCCTCATATTTATAATATTTGAATCCTCACTCCTTCGTGATATTAGGTTGATAAAATGTTATTAACTGAGCAGTTGATGACAAAAACCCTTGAACCCAGAATCTCTTCAGTGCTGAACAGGTTTATTACAGACGAGTAGGTGACATCACAGAGGAGTTATTTCTGTCACAGCGTGGGAAGGCAACAGTGGGAAAAGAAAATATTCAGTGGCACTAACGGGAAAAAAAAAATACTGTTAATGTTGTTTGTTTTTTTGCCACTTGTGAGAACGGGAATTTCCTAGAGACTGTCCTCCTCCACAGGAACTCCTAGTGCAGATTGAGTGTTTGTTATTCTCTTATTTTCCAGCCAGCTGCTCGTACAGTTTGGGGACGTAGTCGTCCCACTCCGCCTGGTAACAGGTTCCCGCCACCGGAGCTCCCAGGTTGTATTTCTGCCTGAAGCTCTGGAGCTTGAACTTTCCGCGGCCGTCTCCGGAGCAGTTGGTGAGAACGGGCTCGGAGCAGGAGATGCTGCCGGGCTGCTCGTACACCAGCCACACGTATCTGTGGAGACCTGGGACACACAGAGCGTTTTTGTTTAATGCTCCACGGGTACACATTCTGTTCTGTTCATTTCAAAACAATATAATTGATTGTTAATTGGTCAAACAATAGATTCAAATGGAGACAGTGTTTGCTCTGAGCGCCGCCCTCTCACCGGTGCCTTTGGGAGGTCCAGAGCCCACGTAGTCGGACATGACGCAGCCAGAGGACACGTCGTTCCCCTTCATGTTGACCACCAGGAAGTGATGCCACTCCCTTCAGGGAGAAGACACAAAAATATATAATGTGAGTAATTTTGAGTCAACACGGTGAACATGGAAGTAAGATAACACTAAGCTGCTGTGTTTCTAAATTATTATCAAATTATATTTCCATGATGCATCTTATCTTATAGATACATTTTGTTTTATAGATACATCTTATTTTATCGACACATCTGATCTTGTCTCACCGGAACTTGGGCTCCTTCCTGCTGGGGGCGTCGGGGTCGGTCAGGGCCAGAGTGAACATCTTACCCGGGTCACATCCCTCCCACTCGATGCACGTGGGTCGGTTCTGCACCTGCGGGTCAACGAGAGCCGAGTTCACGTCACCTGCAGCTACTTTACCCACGTGGGGGCGCTGCTCCCCCGTGTTTCACATCTGCTCACACGCTGCAGACTTTATGTAACCGGCTTCACTGTTTAAACCTTTCTTTAAAACAAGTTCATGGAAGTTTAAGTTAAATTAATTATCTTTAGCGCGGTGCTAGCAGTGTAGCATCAAGCTAGACGAGGCTAAGCTAGCAGCGTCATTAGCTCAGCTAGCACAACAGCAGCTAGCTACCGGACCTGTGTCGGTGTGAGCACTTTGCCGAGCTCGTCGATCTCCACGGATCCGTATTTCACCGTCAGGGGCCGGGCTGGCTTCTCCTCCACCTCCTGCAGAGCAAGAGAACCGCTCCACTGGCTCAAATCGACCGGCATCGCTCACTCGTAGTCCGCTGACAGACGCTGCTGGGCCGGGCTGACACACCGCTGCTGCTGGGGAGAACCACCGGAGTGATGCGTTCAGGGACCGACACCAAATACAGCAACTGGAGGAGAGAGGGTGCAAGTTCAACCACGAGCCCACAATATCTGCCCTGCATTGCAAAATGGTTTTGCCCAAGATCTGGCAAACAGGACCGGGCCATCACTCCATTTGCAAATAAGCCGCATTTACACGAAACGTGCCAAAGGTGGCTCGAATCAGTTTCGCAATATTTGGGTCATAGTCAGCATTTAGCACATGGGCCACTTTAGGTTCACATCTGGAAGACACCTTGCAGAGAGCACCACATGTGTGACAAAAGAAAAACCCACATTTGTTTTGTACAAAGGTTTTGTAGCTCACCACGCCGCAAATCAAGAAAACAAATAGAAAATCATGTGCAAATCAAGAAAACAACTTCAATTTGACGACACGTGAGCTGCAAAAAGTCCCAACACATCAAAATACAGAAACGACAGCGGAAATGTTTCCAGGGGACCAACAGTACTGAACCTGCTGTCGTTCAACACTGACGAGAGAATTGTTGAACTGAATGTATAAATGTAGGAATATTCTTTCCTGTTTAAAGTGTTGAGCATGTTTGGTTTGTGTGTCCTCCCAGCTATGTGTGTGGGTTGTAGTGGGTGTGTGTTAATCAGCAGTGTCGTGTGTTGTGCATCAGGCAGTTGTGGTACATGAATGATTTCTTTTATCTGCTCTATGGCTGAGGTTCATGTTGCATATCACCGTCACTTGTAAAACAAAACCAGACGGAACAATTCAAATAGGTTAAAAACAGATATATAATTTTTTATATTTGCCTGCTATGAATACACTGTTCCAACACGTCATCTATCTTTACAAACAGTCTATGTTCATCACAATGAAATATCTGCTTAGAAATCTAAGTTGGGCTTGTATATTGTCACAATACTACTAATACTACTACGAACAATAATGATAATATTAATACGTGTTAAAGGAGCTGATACTGAGGAGTCTGACCCTGGAGTAACCAGGTTGACACGCTGCACTTTCACTTGTGTGCTGACGCTGTGTGTTGTGATCGGTAACGAGATCAAATGTCGTTCTTGGTTTGCAGAATAAAAGTCCATTTAATTCACGGTCTCATCAAACACTTGTGTACAAAGTCCACTCCATCGCTCCAAAAACTGAGATCGCAGCTCAACAAACAATTCAGTCGTCACCACTGACGAGGAGCAGACTTCAATAACGTCACAAGGGATTGAACTTCAGCAGCTTCGTCTCTTGTTTGGACCCAGGAAACATTTCTGTTGTTGTTTTTTCTCTTTGCAGAGTGTTTCTGTATTTGCACGAGTTGTGACTCTGCAGTGCACGTGTTGTCAAATCGATGAAGTTGTTTACTTTTTTTTTTTTTTTTTTTTTTTGTATTTGCATGTGTGGAGTTCTCTCGGCCACAGCACTGAACAACACATTTGGCTCTTACTAGAAGAAGAAGAAGAAGAAGAAGAAGAGGATGAGGATTTCTGGTTAAAAAAAAAAATGGTGTTACTGTACCTTTAAGAAGGTGAGGTGAGGGTGTGGCTTGTCCGTGCAGGAGTTTCCGGATTAGCGTATTGAGGTAAACAAAGCGCCTCAATCAGATGGTGGTTAGAGACTGAGGTGACGGTGTCTCAGGGACTGAGACTGAGGTGACGGTGTCTCAGGGACAGAGACAGACAGGTGGAGGTGGAGGAGACAGTCAGACAGGTGGAGGTGAAGACAGACAGGTGGAGGAGGAGACAGACAGGTGGACGGTCAGACAGGTGGACAGTCGAACAGGTGGAGGAGGAGGAGACATCATGGAGTCAGTGGTGACATCAGTGCTTCTCCTCCTGTGCGTCTCCGCCACAGGTGAGTTTTCACATCACAGCCAGGTGAGAGTGAAAATCCAACTTCTTCTTCTCTCATTCTTCTTCCTCGTCTTATTTTCTGAAAGCAGCGGTTTCAGGTGTCGCCTCCATCGACGCGGTCCTCACCGGCGCAGCGGGCTCGAACATCACCGTGCCTGCGTGTCACCCCGGCAGTAACATCACCATGACGACTGTTACGTGGTCGAGGGTGAATGCGGATGGCGGGACCTCCGGGATCTCTGCTCCCGGCGAGTCCCGCATCACGGAGCTGCACGGCCACGAGCTGGAGATCCAGGGGCTGACACCCGCAGACGAGGGCATCTACCAGTGCGCCTACTCGACACACCCTTCACCTCAGCCGAGCAACAGCGTCTACACACGTTACCGGCTGATAGTCACCAGTGAGTCAACCATCATGCGTCCACGCCTGATGTAACCTCCATTAACTCCTCTCTGGAAGATTCAAACCGGTTGTTCGACAGAGCAGACAGGTCAGACCGGCACGTGGGACCAGGGCCGGGTCAGGTTCCCTTCCAAAAGTTGGCGGTTACACGGAAGTTTTTGTAAAAGAGTAAGAAATATAGTAAAAGATGTGATTTAATCTGAACACAGTTGGATAGAGATTCCAAATGAAAATGTTGAATGATGCTAATTATTATTCAGCACTTGTTTGTTCATGATCTCAGCCATCACTAGTATCCTGTGCAAAGTATTATTAGTATTAGTATTCATTCTGCGTATATATAAGTACCTCAGCTCGATTTTTCCAATTGTCAACTGCTCAGGTGTCAAGGAGATTTATAAACCATTGTTGTCACATGATCAAACTTCCATACTTGCACTACTTCATGCAATCCTCTGTACGTTAGCCGCAGAAGTTTGTGCTCATTGCTGTGTATTATATTGTACTAGCTCGGACATTGATGATGCTCGATGTTAAAGTAATTGTAGTCGTAATGCACTGCATTTTTTTTTTTAAGGTGGTCCAGAGAATGTCTCGATGTCCATCGAGCCGGTCACCGCTCTGTCCAACGGGACGCTCATCGTCTATCGGGGCTCCAGCGTCTCCTTTAACTGCTCTGGCTCCTCCCAACCGTCTCAGCACCTGACCTTGGCCTTCGCAGGAGCCTCGTCCAGCGACCACTCGCTGGCCTCGGACTCTGGATCGTGGCTGAGCTACAGGATAGAAAACATTCAACCCAGCAATCAGGGGCTTTACAGCTGCAGGGCCCACAACAACGTGTCTGATCAGACAGTTACCAAGAGCACACAGCTGCTGGTTTACTGTGAGTACCATGAACACACTGTCATACACTGGGTCTGATCCAGACACACGTTACATACATGTATTTATTTTATCATACAACAATATTCAAATCAGCATTTTGTTCTGTAAATACTGGAGCCGATACAAACATAACAGAACTCAACACCAGCGTTTATCAGTGTTTTATTAATAGAAATGATTGAATGAAATAATTAGAAGTGTTACAATAATAAACTGTGAAATATTCACACGGTCATCCACTGATTCATAACCTCATCTGAAAATGTTACGACCGAGGACACAAGGAGAAATTCACATCAGTTCACTCTCAAGTTACAGTAAATTCATCTGTGACGGCTGATGTGGAAATAACTGTTTCATCCGAAAGGTCACGGAGCAGGTTGGGAACATTCTGCAGTCATTGAATGGACTTCCTGAATTTCTAGCTCACGCAGCATTTCCAGTGTTTTTACTGACTTCCTGTAATTACTCCCAGAAAATAACCTTAAAAAAATCCTTAAAAAAAGATATAGTTTGAAATTGAAAAGTTATTTCCAGGGAACTTATCAGGAAATAATAAACACTGGAATTTAAGGATTATTACTTATTGATGGATTTAGCAACTTGTTCCGTAAGAAGTAAGAAATAAAGCATATTGGGAGAGAGGGTTTTTCTTTTAAGACTCCTGATCCCCACATACTTTATGCAGTCTTTATATTCCACCTTTATTTGGTTCAAGTGGGAAATTCAATCCCAGAGATGCTCGACTTTAGTACTGATGTTTTCTCTCTTTGCATTTTAGACACATTCCTAAAGTTAAACGTGTTTCTAACTCGAGAACTCAAATATTTTCATGTGAAGAACAGTATAACTCTGCTGGCTTCAAAGTAAAAACTATTAACTACTCTCTCTGGACCGTCCGACTGGAAAAAGACAACAATGAAAATAATGGACGGAAAAGGATTATCACTTTCAGGCAACGACAAAAGTTAATAGAAGTCTTCCTCCTTTTATGTTTTAGCACAAACAGTAAAGTAATGACTTTATCCTGGTCGTTCTGTTCTTTATCTTGTGTTCGCTGCTAAATATTAAGAAAATAAATAGTTTAAAGTGATTTCTTCAGGAGAGCAAAATGTTCATCCTCATATACCATCGGTTGAGTCCTTTCTTTTTTCTGCTGGTCTGCTCATTCTTGAAACTGGATGTTTAAATGAAATAGTATCGCACAGTTGTTCTTTTCAACCACTTCCTCACTGACTCTTTTTCCTCGACCAGATGCCCCGGACAGACACCCTGAGTGTATGTGGACACCAGTGGCGGACCCGTCCCACGCCCTTTTCAACTGCACCTGGTTTGGAGCGTATCCCGCCCCGACGCTGCGCTGGGGAGAAGACCAGGGCGACCAGGGCGCTCACTGGATGGGACACGTCTATGTGACGGAAACGGCGGAGAGTCTGTCGCTGAGTATGAACCGCTCCCTGCTGTCTGAGGGGCAGACTCTGAGGTGCATGGCCAAGCACCTGGCGCTTGCTCCAGGGAAGGAGAAGTGGTGTTCACTCACCCTCAGTAAGTTTGTTGTAGTGAAACGATCCTCGCAGTGATCCTGAGATCTGCAGCTGCTGAATCTTTGATGTACTTTCCACTGAGCCCCACTGACACTGTGTTCTTCAGTTTAAAGGGAAACAGGGAAGCTTACGTGTGTTAGCGAGCCAAGCAGGTCATTTTAAACATTGGGGCTAAAGTGAGTTTATCTGCTGAGGCTCTGACGTTTTCATCTCTGACATTTCTACGTTTGTTACGAGTTTGTTTCTACTGATGAACATTGTTCTTTCAAGAAAACCTAACTTCATGACCTGTCAGATAAAGTGCTGCTTATTCTGTTCAGGTTTTATAGAGGGATTTCTCAGCAGATGGACACATAGCAGATGTTATGAATGGATTGGTCTCGCCCATGTGATAAGTGTTGCCCGTTTGTTCTGTGGTCAAATGAATAGGAAACCCCCCCCCCCCACCACCACCTAGATACCAGTGGATGTATGAGAAAGTGTTTTCATTGGAGGGAGAGAACATTGTGTGTGATGCATCCTGTGGTTACTGATCGAACATTGCTCCTCCCCTGTAGGTGGCAAACCCCGCCTCTCACGACCTCACCGTGTCCGTCACGTATCTCTGTCTGAGTGTTGCAGTCATGTCAGCGCTCCGATGACTCTGAAAACTTTATCCTAACATCGTTTAGATGAACGTGTTTATGAGCTGCTTGTTTAGTTCTCATTATTAAGTCTGTTTATATTAGTTAGGATTATCCACGCCCACAAACCACGTGGCCACATGGACGTGTCAGTGAGTCACTCAGTAGTGGAGGGTTATTACAGGACAGGTTTGAGCAACACACTGAGAAGGCGTAAGAGCGTCTTATTCAAACTCTCGGTTTGCTTTAGCTTTTCAGCTTTATTTGATGTTTGCAAAGCTTTGAGATCCGAAATCCACCTGCGAAACCTTTCCTTACATTTTAATCGTAACTCGGAGCAAAGAACCTTCTGGAACAACGTCACTGTCTCCTAGCTATAGCGTCACATATCTTGAACACTAGACTGTTTCCTAGCTGTAGCTTAACATTTCCTGTACACTAGGCTAACATTTTCCCATCTATACCTTCACGTTTCCTGTATGCTACGCTAACTGGTTCCTAACTTTAGCTTCACATTTACAATAGACATCAGAGTGGTATTAATTCTCTTGTCTAATTCTTTTTATTCTTTTTACATTAATCAAATACATGAATCCCATGTAAAATCCTGTGCCGTATGATCGGGGGTTTGATTTCTACTAGTGGCCGACTGAGAAATAACAGCACTGACATTGTTAGTCCTTCTCTCCCAGAGCCTCCGTACCCTCAAGGCGAGCCGCTGATCACGGCCCTGGAGAAGACCAGTGTAACTCTAACCTGCACTGAGGACGTCTCCATCCCCCCGGCAAACACCACGTGGAGGAAGGGGCTCCAGCAGGACAACATCGTCCCCGGATCAAAGTACGTCCTGACCGAGGAAGGCCCCGTCCTCAAGCTGACCATACACAACGTCACCAAAGACGACGAGGGCGTCTTCTTCTGCCGCAGCGAGAACCCGCTGAATGTCAGCGAGCTGGAGGTCTTCCTCACCGTGAAGAGTGAGTTTGGGTCACTGCATTTTGTGAGACACTTAAAAAATGTCACCGGATGAAAAGTTTTACATCAGAACCAATGACGACACGCAGAGTAGAACATTCTGTTTTCTTCTACACGTGATCGAGATAGAAACAAAAAGCCCGTCAGCGCAGGTGTCGCCTCCACCTTTGGAATGCTGATAAACCTGCTGCACCTCCCTGCTCGCTGCTTCCTAATCCTCTGCCGCTTTCCTGTTTTGTCTCGACAGCCCCCTCCGCATTCACAGGAGCCGTCATCGGCGTCTTCATCGCCGCACTGGTCCTGGGATTGTCCGCCATCGTGGCTAAAATGCTGTACTCCAGCCGACACCGGATTTGCTTGGGTAACTCACTGTCACCTCTTCTACCAAAGCATGAAAGTCACAGATGCATGCGTTTTTTGCATTCATTGTAATGACGCACTGCATCTGTGGTGCTGCACCAGTGAACTGACGCATACAAAAGTGTGAATCAGACAAATCCACTAACACGTCACAATTTCTCTTCATATTTTTGTTTCAGGAGTTGGTCTTGGGTGAGTACGTCACGGTTACTTGTTTTATATGATCTGCATGTGTCATTTAATTCAATCCAGCAGAACAAAGGGATGAATCTCTGCAATATTGAATTTATTTGATTGTCTCGTTTAGTAGAAACAACAGCTTCACTCATCTCGCGTTAAATTGCCGTCTGTCCATTCTAGCATCATAGACCATAATGCAATGTTTTTGATGAGATGAGAAGATTGATACCAGCCTTGTGTTTGTCGGGTAAATATGAATCTCCAGCCACCAGATGGTATCTTAGCACAAAGACTGGAAACGGGGGGAAACCAGCTTAAGACTGAACACGAGAGTTTTGTCTTCACGTCTTAAATCTGCAAGAAAGTGTCAAACTATTCCTTTTAAACACAAGAGACACTGTCCACTTTACACTGAGTCGCTCATTTGTATATTGATCAACATTTTTTTTATGAGTTAGAATAGAAGAAGTCCGTTTTGGAAGTGATAGATCCCAAACCACACCAATACAACTGTTGTTTAACTAGATTTCATTATATTCACATCGTGCATGCGTCAACATAAAGCAGATATTATACTGACACCTTTGACTAAACTTACACGGCCTAGTTCCTGACCCCCGGGTGAATAATAAAGTTTCTGCTCTCCAGGCAAATAGAGGACGACCAAAGGGAAGTGCTGAGTCTGGTCGACTCAGACGACGACGACATCCAGATCTTTCAGGACGCCGTTCCCCGGCTGCCTCCATTAACCAACGGTGGCCACATGACGCTCGCCCAGATTCACCAGATCCCATCGAGTACGGCCTCATCTCGCCAGTTCACTTGATTTGTTTCACTTTGTAAATGACGTGGAATCATGTTTGCTCATGCGTTCGTTGTGTTTTTTTTACAGGCGATCACGAAGATGCCGAACTCGGTGACACGAGCTCTCAGCCGCAGGAAGATACCGCACAGGCGGAGCAGCCGGTGGATCGTGTGACTTATAGATTTTAAGTGTTTTTAGATTAATATTTCATTTTTAGAGGAATTCAGTGAACTGAGAATGTGAACAACTCTGGTGGAAGACATTTGTAAAAAAAAACAAAACTTTTCTTTTAATTTGTTGTTTTGTAAATTTTGTAACGTGCCCATTCCCCATCAGCCAATCGGAGCCCAGGGCTCCAGAGTAAAGGGAGCGAGCCCCCATTTGTGAAACCTTATGTTTGACCACACACACTTTCATCACTTACACCCCTTGATGATTATTTCGACAGTGTTTGTCTCCGCTTGTGAAAGAAACAGTAACAACAGGGTTTTGAATTTTTGTACGCTCATTTCTGCGGTTGTGTTTTTGTACAGCATGTTGAACATAACGCTCTGATACTGAGATCAATGTAGTAAATTAAGTTGTTTATTCAAAAAACGTCTGTTGTGCGATCGAACATTTGAGAGCAGTTCAAGTCTCAAACCTTGATTCGTCCAAAGGTTGAAGATCATTTTCAAAAACAATAACATAACTTCCATCTTATTCATGGGTTCACGTACGCGTCCTCCCTATATCACACACACACAATATTTATAGATGAACTCTGACTGTACATGTCTGGAATGCTTCTCTCAACGGGGCTCATCTCCAAAAATGTGGCAGAGGCAGTTTGTCATCTCCGTTTTTCTCAGCTTCTTAAAATGACGTAATTCCAGACATTAAATAAAAAGACTTCCACGAAGAATCATCTGATGTTTTTACTGCTTTTTTTTTTTTTTACTCTCTTTCAGTCATTTACATCATCAAGTTGAATTAAACGTGGTTCCATGAGGTGACTGTTTTGGCCTCTGAGTGCTGCTCTAGGTTTTGCTGTTTTTTTCCATTTGTTACTGGTTCGACAGAGCTGTTCAATATTTAATGTTTGACTTTGTGTCGACAGAACTTGAAGATATAACGTCATAAATAATATAAATCATACATTTTACACATCGTTCTCAGGGGTTCACACATTTTGACCCTTTTCTTTGGTTTTAATTGTCACAAAGTTGAGATATA